TTTGTAAAGTTGTAGTGTATTCTTTGTATTATAATATGCGGTTGCTGGTGATTGTGAAAAAGTTGGAAGTAATATCGATAAGGAAAACTGAAAATAGGAAATCTCTCGCCGCTACAACTACCACTATGCAATCTATCGACACTATGTTTATATCACCAATGTGCGCGTGTTTCTGTATATTAACTATGGTATATTTGGTATGGTGTAGCTGAATAAGAAAGAAGGTTATGTAAAGGGGACTGGGAATAATTCTAGTGGAGTCTAAAAAGTCGTCTGCAATTCAGTCGATTTGCTGTGCTTGAGTATGCAGTGTGAATTATAAATGAAGCAGTGATTTGGCGACTGGTCATATTTGTCTTTAACAGGTTTATTTCCTACAATACATGCTCTAAAATGTGCGCCTAATTTGCTTCGAGGACTAAAACACGCGTTCTGTAAGGGTAAAAAAAATTCTCGAAAGACTGTGTTTAAAGAACGTGGTGATTTAGTTAATTATCAATCACAATCATGGATCAATCTTCTTATATATTAAATGTAACTCCGAATGCGCTATGGACGCAATGTTTAACCGAACACAATGCTTAGGAATTATTAGGAGACAATGTTTAAAAGGCTATCGAGTATCGATACAGAAGCATTCAGAGCAACCATCAGAAGAAGATGAACTCGATCCAACTTCAAGGGTAGACATTTCTTGTCTAATTTTTATCCAAAATTTGATTTCATTTCTGTCTGGAACTGGGACTGTCAAAAGTTCAGTCTGGAACGAATCACTTAAAAACAGCAACCTCCATGCTAAAAAAGAAACTTTTTTGCGAGCCGATTCGGTCTATGAAATAAATGGAAATATTTCAAAGTTTCATAGCTCGACTAGCTTGCATAGGAAAACTTCAATTTTTCGCAAAACGATTTTTTCTAGTCACAAACAACTTAAAAAACTATTTATTCGCAAAACGTTGTGGTCTAAGAAACAACTTCAAATATTCAATTTTTCATAGCTTCAGTTGCCTGCTTAAGAAAAACTTATTGCGAACTAATTCGCACTAAAAAACAACGTGACGTATTTCAAAGTTTCATAGTCTGAATAGCTTGCATATGAAAACTTCATTTTTTTGCGAAAAGGGTTTGGTAGATTAAGAAACATTTTGTATTATTTGGAAGTTCATCGCTCAATTAGCTCGCTTAGAAAAACTAGCTATTCGCAAAACGTTTTGGTCTAAGAAACAACTTCAATTATTTAAATTTTTTATAGCTTCAATAGCTTGCTTATGAAAAAATTGAATTTAATGCGGACTGGTTCGCGCTATAGAACAACTTGAAACATTTCAAAGTTTGTCGCTCCGTCAGTTTGCTTAAAAACACAAGTTTTTCGCAAAACATTTTGGTCTAAAAACAACTTGAAGTTTTTCAAATATTCATAGCTTCAATAGCTTGCTTTTGTAAAATTTGAAGTTTTCTTGAACTGATTCGCTATATGGAACAACTTGAAATATTTCAAAGTTTCGTCCCTCCATCAGCTTGCTTGAAAACATAACTTTTTCGCAAAACATTTCGGTCTAAAAACAACTTGAAGTTTTTCAAATATTCATAGCTTCAATAGCTTGCTTTTGTAAAATTTGAAGTTTTCTTGAACTGATTCGCTATATGGAACAACTTGAAATATTTCAAAGTTTCGTCGCTCCATCAGCTTGCTTGAAAACATAACTTTTTCGCAAAACATTTTGGTTCAAAGATGACTTGAAATTTTTCAAATTTTCATAGCTTCAATAGCTTGCTGTCGTTAAATTTGAAAATTTCCTGAACTGATTTGCTCTATGGAACAAATTAAAATTGTTCATATTGTTCCGCAAAACGATTCGGTCTAAGAAATCATCGCTTGAATGGCTGGAATAGAAACAATTTTAGTCATCCGATTCACGCCATGAAATAACTTGAAATTTTCAACGTTTCATAGCTTGAATAGCTTGTTTAAACCAACTTTGATTTTTTACGGATTGATTCGCTCTATAAAATTGCTTTGAAATGTTTTTGAAATTTTCGCATATTAACTTTCATAGAAAAACGGTCTTTCTGCGGACCAGTTTGATCTAGGAAATAAGTTGAATTATTTCAAAGTCTTACGGCTTGAATGGCTTCAAAAAAATTACCTTTTTCGTCATCCGGTTTGCTTCGTTTTAAATGATCTTAGCTGGAATGGCTTGCTTATAAAAGTTTGAATTTTTGCGAAATGATTCGGCTTAAGAAATAATTTTAAATGTTCAAATTTCTTCGGTTGAATGACTCCATGAAAAACTCTAAGTTTTTGCTAGTCATATGGGGTCCAAAAAATAACTTCAACTATTTCAAAGTTTGATAGCTTGCTTAAGAAAACTTGAATTTTTTGTGAACCGTATCGGTCTTAAAATACTTTTAAGAATAACTTCACAATTTCTTCGGTTGAAACGCTCGATTTTCAAACCGATTTACGATATTGCTTAACTTGAAGTTGTTCGATGCTTCATTGCTTGAATTGCTTGGTCAGAACAACAACTAATTTTTTGCGTGTGGATTGATTATTGTAGTCGGGCTTGATAGTTCTTGTTAAGCTTGCCATTGGTAAATGTCAGGGGTTCCGAAAACTGATTGCAATGCCAAAAATCAAAACGATCCTTGATAAGTTGATATTTCAATAAGAGAAAAAAGTTCTAACTGGTGCGAAGCTAGTAGAAATAAGAATCTTTTGCTCATTGAGCTTCAGAAAAAGCTGCTCCTCCAAGTTTGCGTCTGCCGAATATCAATGAAAGTCATTTTGGAGGGTTAGCAGAATCGCTGGACCAAGTGAACAATCTTCCCCGAAACCGATGTCAGGGGAGATTGTTCACTCAGTTCAAAAATATACTTTTTAGCCAAACTGATTTGAGCATAGTTAATGCAGGCCTTACAGCTTGAATTTGCCATTTTTAGGGCTGAGATTCTACACTTGGTCTTTTAAGGGGGGAGATTGTTCACATGGGCCGAATCGCTTAACAATGTACAATGTAAGAGCAGTAAGTGTGTGCTTAAGTAATTTTCTTCTCTGTCGTCGTCAAGCTCCATGCGCCTCTTTTGATCAGAGCTAACGAGTTGCTTTCATTGCAATTAGTTAATATAAGAAAATTTCAATTGATTGAAAATTTTGATTCTGACAATCCAACAAGACTGATCTTATATCAGAGTAAAACCGTGAATGTCCCGTAAGCACTTTAAGGCCAATTTAAAAGTTTTTTGTTTAAATAGTTCTCGAAAAAATATAAAAAAAAACAGAAAAAATATTTTTGTTTCTTATTTTTATCCTTCCACACGCTATGTAAAACACAATGGCGTGTTAAGCGTCTCGTATTGTTTCAATAGGTCTAAATTGCTGCCCTCAATTCAGTTTTGAACGCATTATTTCACCGCTTTGTTATTTGATAAGAGCGCAATATATCAAGCAATAATCCCAAATTAACCTAATTCGCAATGTCCAAACCCCCTTAACTTTACGAAAACGATCACAGGTAAAAATTGTTTTTTGTTGAACTCAAGACAACAATATCTTCAGATGGTATAACAAAGTTACGTCAAAAACGCCAAGTTAAAAAGTCGAAAACTCACCAAAAAACCAAGACAAATATTCGCACTTTTGGGCAACTGAAAATTCTGAACCCCTGACAAGCGTTGTCAAATGGAATCATGAACATTTTTTTATATTAACAACCCATTTAACAAAATCACAGAATCATCATCTCGGCTTTTTTGTCAGTTTGTCCGTCAACTTGTTATTTTGCCAACAAACAGACATAATTTGCATTCTAAATAGTCATTCTATCAAAAAAATATAAACTTGGTTGAAAGTTTAGCAGCTGAGATTTTTTCAGTTTTTTCGTTTTGGTTGTAAATCGGCTGAATCAACTCATTTTGTGAGCTTTGAAGGGCGAAAAAAGTTATCTATGTGTGCGTGGGTTTCAAGGTGGACTCAAAGTTTTTGTGTTTCAAATTGTTTTAACGATCTTATTTTCCGTTTTAATGCTAATTCTAGCTGATAGTTGTATATTTTGAAATTTATTTCTTCAAAATGAATTTATTTTGAGACTGCATTTATCAATGGAATTTAGTTTTTTTTGACGTTTTTGCAAATGATTATTACACTTGAGTGCCTTTGCTCATTTTCTGTTGGCTAGAGTACCACGATAAATTTGCGCTGTATCGCAACTGGTGCGAAGCTCCGCTTTGCCTCTGCGTTAAAGAAGTCCTCCCAATTGTTATTGTCTTGGCATAATTCAATTGTCGTGGTTATTGTCTTGGCGCCTGTCCCCACATTCCTCAATTCTGATTGAAAATTTTGTTCAAAGGATCTCCCTTTGGTACTATTTTGCGACAACCATCTCTGGCTGACCACATGAAATTTATCATTTTTAAAATAGAACTCACCAGCGGTGCAGAACATTTTATCGAACCGGGTTTCAACAGAGCTCTAATTTTTTTTAATTACAAAAAAAAATTGCTTAACTGTCCCGTCAAAAAATTCTTGCGCTCGCAATTGGCCAACAAAAAGTGTATATAATTCTTCATCAGGAGTATAACTGAGGTTCTCGGGAAACAGAGCTTGTACGTTTGTTCTTTAGTTCATGGATATGTTGTCCTAAATATAAATCCTAATTTTAGAGGAACTTATCACAACTCTTGAATTCGCTTTAGCTGTCGCCGGCGGTTTGATTTTAATAACATTGCCCTCCCCTTTTTGTGGGAAAAAGAAGGAAATCTATATTTAGACCACGTTCTATATTCGTTTATGCTTAACCGTTGCGTTAAATCATTATGGGTGAATGAGTGTTTGTTTTTAGTTACCGCGCAAGTTTCAATTAATTGTTAACGAGGTTCAAGTGTTTTTGATCGATATATTTTTCAAAGTTAAAAATGGTCTGCTGAATTTATTTAATTATTATCATAATTTTTTTATCCAGAAATTAGTACCATGAGATGATTTACGGGTTGTGTTTTAGGAAATAGTAGAGTACGTGTTTCTCGTCATCTTCACAGTGGAGTGTTTCATGAAGATCATAGCCTACGGACTGTTCATGCACCAGGGTGCCTACCTGCGCAACGGATGGAACTTGCTCGATTTCGTCATCGTCATCATCGGGTATGCTAACCAACCAATCGCACAGCACCTTATTGGATTGGAAAGCTTCCATTGTCTATTCTTCCTATCACAGTTTTAGGTAGCTAGTCTCATGACAGGAAGATAGATTTTTTTTCCAGATTTTATATCATAATTTGACTCTTCTACGACCGTTCCTTATCTCGTTTGTTCGATTGGATAAAGTGAATTCGCTGCTTATTTGTCGTTATTACATTGTGAATTGAGTAAAAACAAATATGTTTATAACATCATTAGGATCTGTTTAACTATTTCTACCCTCCACTCTCCCTAGGATCTATTTACTATCACCCCAAAGAAGGGTTTCGTTTTTAGGTACCAAATTCACATATGATGAAGCGTTGAATTAGTTTATTATAGGTGTGGCAATTCATTACTAGGTACCAAAAGGAGGATAGTTAACGAGATCACATCATTAAAAACTTTAAATTTAAGGATCGACTCATTTAACTAACTAATGGTGATCTATTTATACGCAGTCGCAAAGAGTTATTCTGACAGGTGTGTTTATTCATGCAAAATGATATAACTAAGGGTAGAGTTAAGCCAATTATTAGTTCTGCAGTAAAACCTGCAGCCTACTGTTAGAATGAAAAAACTCGTTTACAATGAATCGAGTGATCAATCAGCTCTCAATACAGCTCTCTGAAGAAAATTCTTATTGAGCAGAGACAAAACAGAGGTTACTCTCACTTGCGCGCTGTGACATTAGATGCCAAGTGAGACGATCGGTCTTTTTTGTTCTCAACAAGTACGACTACAGCAAGTACGTCTACAAAACATTCAGGGCGGTTTCGCATTTTTTCACCGAAGTTTTAGTGAGAATATTCTATAATAAAACCAAAACGAATTCATTTATATATTATTATCTTAGAAACAGAGTTTTTTAAAATGTCTAAATCGCACGAAGTACAGCAGTTGAGTGAATTATAAAAGATTAACAAAACTGCTCGTATCAGGGCGAAGCCCTGAATGTTCCGACCGCCTTTTAAGCTTTATGGAGCAGTAATAGCATTAAAAAATTCTATGAAAAAAAAACAAAATGAAACTTTTTTTTCTAAAATGTGAAATTTTTTATGAAAATCATCCCCCCACACGCCATATAAAGTACAAAAGGTTAGATTTGCTCTTTGTAACAAACCAATTATGGCAAATAAGCTTCTTTTAACCAATTTGGAACGATTTCCAAGGCTGATTAACTCTCCGCCTACTCGTTAATAGCGCAAAATATATCGCGCGTTAAATTTCCCAAAATGGCAATCTTTAAACCCCCGTAACTTTACGAAACATGACCACAGGTGAAATATCTTTTCAAATTTAAGCTCAGGACAACAATACCTTTCGAATGATATAAAAAATTCCGTCAAAAATGGCTAGTTAAAAAGTCGAAATTTGTCTGAAGAAAAAAAAACCCACCCGAGCACAAATATTCCGTTACTTCCGTATCGAAAGTCGGAACAAAAAGTACCCTGTGAGTCAAAGAGATATCATTGGCTCTTATATTTACAAGCTCAAGGAATTAGCAACATGAAAATAAAAAAACCTCTACGCACCATTAGGAAAAGTTACTTGCACCCTTAGGAATATCAAAAATGGCTTTCTAAGATGCTTAAATTCATGTTCCTCAAAAAATTTGTTCTACGGAAAATATGCTGACAAAAAAGACACACTATATTCCAAAAACTTCATTTTTTAGAGCAGAAAGTTTCAAGTTTGCGAATTGGTAGAAACAGCCATTAAACCTGCCTTGATTTTAAGGCAAGCTATCAAATGATGCAATCATTCTGTTAGACAAGTAGTGTTTCAAAATTGGAAGTTATAGCAATTTTAGCAGCGCAGTTATAGCGGCGCAGAAAAAGGGGCAAAACACTGCTTTGGGAGAGCTCGAAAAATCAATTTGGTCGACCTAAAAAAAAAGGTCGTCAAAATTTTCGATTTTTTTTTGAAAATCCGCCCCCCCTCGAGAAAATCCTAGATCCGCCCCTGCTTCCAAATTTCAGGACTTGGTCCACAGGTCTAGAAGTCTTCGTCTTGATAAACTTATGTATAACAAAAGCTATCCCGCAATTCTTCGGATTATGAGATATGCGCTAGGCAACAAAAATGCACTTTTTTTGCTGAGCATAAATTAACACTAACACCGTGTAACACTAACACCGAGATGACTAACACCGTGTAATCTGTTGGACTTATTGCTATCCTTCTCGGTTGTAACTGCAATTATCCCGGAAAGATTATTGGTCTGGACGGATTTAACACCATAAATATTTAGCCTATGTGTTGGCAGATTGGAGTATGTGCACAAAAAGAAGACACTGTGTTAGAAATTCACTATAAACTGAAACATCTGTCATTTCAGAAAAAGCAAACAAACACTTTTTTAAATAAAAAAACCAAAAGACGGGAAAAATTCGAGTGCCGTTAAAAATTCCAGGGTTTTGGAAAGACTCGAACAGCTATTCATTGTTACCAGTGATGTCCAGTTAAAAACTACGTTTTTTAAACCATTAACCAATCATATATTTTCAAACCAATTTGTCTTAGCCATTTCCTGCTTTGAACCACTTATAGGATGTTGCCGTTTGAGGTGCTCCGTTACTTTCGCCAGCATGTTGTTTTTCTTGACGCTCCTGAGAAGTTTCTTGCAAATTCCACAAGAATAACACTGTTGTTCTTCCGTCCAGATAAATAATTTTTCGACAGCGTCACCTTTCAAAGATGTTTCGCGTCTCATTGTTAACACGCAAGCAGGAAGCAAGCAAGCTGTTGTAAAGTGTGAACGATTCACACGACATGAAAAGTAGGGTTTTCTAGATTCAGGTGCTTTTTGCGACTTCAATTTCTTTCTAGACAGTCTTTTGTGGGTTCAAGCTTGGCAACTATGTTTTCAGTTTACTTGAGCTCTGCAAAATTTTCTCATTTAAAAAAAACTTTTTCAACAATCGTTAATCAGGATTTTTTTGACGTTTCTTGATTCTTTTGAAAAGTTTTTCGATTGATTTTCGGTAAGCTAAAATGTTAAGGATTATTTTTTTCACAGCAATTTTTTTCCCAAAAGAAACTGTTTTTTCTGTACTTTGAAATCAAATTTTGTTTAATTGTCTCTGGGTTGAGGTTTTGGAAATTTTGTAGTTTTTTCCAGCAGCTACTGTCTAGACCTGGATGCGAACCTGGGTTAATGCGGCCACAAACCAATGTCCTAACCACTTGACGATCTGAACCAATTGTACTGCGAAGCAATCAATGTTTATATTTTTTCAAGACTCAGGTGTTTTTAGCGACTTATTACTTTTTCTAAAAAATCTTTCAATTAATAATAATCATAATAATAAATATAATAATAATAATCATAATAATAATAACAAAGGGTTTAGGAATAAAATCCAAGGGTTCGCATAAAACCGAGTCATTGCAGTGTTCAAAGTTTAGTTTCCAGTTATAAGTGTAAGTTTCTTCAGGTCTCTACAGTTGTTGCATTCACATAAAATGCGCCAAGTGCATGTATCTGATTCGTTGAAGCAAGTTTTGAAGAACTTCGTGTACATTCCTGGAAGTCTGTTTTTGCCTTCTGGATCAAACAATATGTCAAATTTGAAGTATTCGTTGTATAGATTAGCAGTATGACATTCCCGAAACCCGACTCGCACTTCTTCAGACGCATTTGTTTGCAGACGAAATTTCGTTTCATTTGAACTCTTCGGTTTCCAACGTCAGTGATGCTTACATGGCTTCTCCAGTCGATGTTAACTTTTCAAGCTAATATTTTTGCAAACAGCAGTTCAACGTGAAGCTCTTGGTATAGAGATAAAGGAAGAGTGATAAGTTTTACGAGTTTGTCTTTATAGGAGATTTGGCTATTGCTTGTCATGAAAATCTACGAGATTGCTTTCCGCTGCACACTTTCTATGATTCGTAAGTCACCTTTTGATGGTTTCCAGATAGCTGAACCGTAGCTTAGAGTTGGTACAACATAACAGACATATGCGTTTTTTCTGGTCGCGAAATTCGCCTTTGAGAGATTCCTTTCACTTGACAATTTGGTTTCCGAATTTCTTCCGCTTTGCAATGTTTTCTAATTTTTGGCGTGTTCCGCTGCACACGCTATACTACTAGACGACCTGGACCAATTGCAAATGATTAGAATCAATTTTGGCCTCAATCTTAAATCGGAAACTTCTGGCGTCTTATGATTCTTTTAAAAATTAGTTTGATTGATTTCCTTTCATTTTTCATTTGTTTACATCTGTTAGGTAATTCGTCGTTGAAATGTCTCTAGAATTAAGTTTTGTTTAAGTTGTGATTTTGTTTCCAGCAGCTGCTGTCCAGACCACGATTCGAACCTGGGTAATTGCGGCCACAGCGCAATGTCCTATCCACTAGACGATCTGGACCAATTGTACTTCAAAGCAATCGGTTTTTAGATTTTCTCCTGATTCAGGTGCTTTTTGCGGCTTCTATTTCTTTCTAGACAGTCTTTTGTGGATTCAAGCTTAGCTACTATGTTTTCATTTTATTTGAGCTCTGCAAAATTTTCTCATTTTTTAAAAAACTTTTTCAACAATCGTTAATCAGGATTTTTTTGACGTTTCTTGATTCTTTTGAAAAGTTTTTCGATTGATTTTTGGTAAGCTAAAATGTTAAGGATTATTTTTTTCACAGCAATTTTTTTCCCAAAAGAAAAAACTGTTTTTTCTATACTTTGAAATCAAATTTTGTTTAATTGTCTCTGGGTTGAGGTTTTGTAAATTTTGTAGTTTTTTCCAGCAGCTACTGTCTAGACCTGGATGCGAACCTGGGTTGATGCGGCCACAAACCAATGTCCTAACCACTTGACGATCTGAACCAATTGTACTGCGAAGCAATCAATGTTCATATTTTTTTTCAGACTCAGGTGCTTTTAGCGACTTATTACTTTTTCTATAAAATCTTTCAATTAATAGTAATCATAATAATAAATATAATAATAATAATAATAATAATAA